ATTGATCGATTATCGATTGGAAGCATGCTGAAGGCCTCAGAATTTCATAAGAAGCATCATGAGAATAGAAAAGGTTTAAAGAAAGAGTTATAAGTTAACGAGATTTTAAAGAGATGTCCTACTTGCTCTTTCTGTAACCAAAGGGAGTAACCTTTCTATAACCTGAAGGGACTAATTCAAAGGGTACTCAAAGGAATGAGATCTGGCAGATGGATGTGTTTCACTTTGCAGATTCTGGAAAATTAAAATACGTATATCACACCATAGACATGTATTCAGATTTTCAATGGGGAACTTCTTTGAGCTCAGAAAATCCTGGTTCATTAATCACACATTTAATAGAAGTTATGGCCATCATGGTTATACCTACACAAATAAAGACAGACAGTGTTCTGGCATAATTCTCTAAGAAAATGAAACAAATTCTTTTCTTATTATAATATAAAGCATATTATATGTATACCAAACAATCCTACAAGTCGGGCAATTATAGAAAGATCAAATCGATCTCTAAAGGATATGTTAAATAAACAAAAAGCAATGGAAAATATCCTCTGAAATAGATTACATAGTTCTTTTTCTTAATACTAATTATAAAGGGACAACAGCAGCAGAGAGACACTGCATAACACAAAAGTCTTCTGAATTAAATCAGCCAGTGTGTTTCAAGGATGTGTTGACCTCACAATGGAAGCCAGGAGATGTACTATGTTGTGGAGGGGGTTTTGCTCTTCTTTCAACAGGAAAAGAAAAGTTATGGATACCATCAAAATTAATAAAGATTCCATTTGAAAAAGAGAAATCTCTTGAGAAAGAGAAATGACGGCTCATCCAAAGAGGTGACAATCACACAGGTGATAAGGAAACCTCATAAGGGTTGGGACAGGGTTCTGTTCCTGTCTTTGCAGGAAAATACTCATCTTCAGAAAGTCAAGAGATCATGGACATCTAGATGCCTAAAGAGGAAAATATAATCATCCAGATAAGATCACCAAACAAAGAGAATTATCACTTATGAGGACAGGTCATCTGAAAATAAGAATCTTTAAATATTAACTAGAATAATTATCATGACTCATGGCCCGGCGGTGGTGGTACACGCCTTTAATCCCAGCACTCGGGAGGCAGAGGCAGGCCTCTGTGAGTTCAAGGCCAGCCTGGTCTAGAAGAGCTAGTTCCAGGAAGGGAACCAAAAAAAAAAAAGCTACAGAGAAACCCTGTCTCGAAAAAATAATAAAAAAAAATATGACTCACTTAAAAATCAAAGCTGGCATGGGAGTTGGACAATGGCTATGTCCTTCTTTAAATCTAAGCATGACAGAGTTACTGTCTCATGTCAGGAGCCATCTGGTATGGGAGAAAAAGAAAAAAGAATCTAGAAAAGTTTACTTTTTTCATAGCTATTTTTGTCTCTGTTATACCTTATATTGAACATATGTCTGTATAAATAATGATTAAGTTTTCCACAATGAACAATAAATTTTCCTTCAGTAATCTTTGAAGTTCATAGGAAGAAGAAGAGCCCCACAACAACAAATTCAGCTGGCTGATATGACATCATGATGCTGATAATATTACTATAAAACCTGTTTTGGGTACCAGCTCCCCAAGATGGTTCCAAATTGGTTAGCTGAACTGGTGCACTTTTTTTTTTTTACCATGTTCTGGCCAGAACTTCAAATAGGAACCTCAGAAAACCCTACTGAGTACTCAGAGATTATTTGCAATTATATCAGACTATAATCTTGGAACTTAACCATTATTTTACTTTCACAGGATCCCATAGAAAGAACATTGCCCCCATGACAACTGGAAGTAATTCTAGATGACTGCATCCCCTCTCCCAACAAAGTTTGCCCTCAGGGTTAGGGACATCATTTATGAGTTGATTATCATTGGTATAGGGTTTAGGATTAGGTAGGATATTTTGTAGGCTCAGGGATCTCTTTGAAAAAAATATGGGGGAATTTGATGGGATAATAGATAGATCAGTGTGAGTAAGCTAATAATAATAATTGTGAGTAATAGAGTAACTACTTGTGAGCTATTATTTATAATAAATTTACATTGGTATAGACTCTTGTATATTTATACTTATAGTTAGACTAATCAGGTTCTTTAGATACGTAGAGATTGTATTCTGCATAAAGAGGTAATCTTTTTTTTATTGCGAAAAGAAGAAAAAAAAACATAAACAAAAAACAAGTTTCCACCTCCTCCCAGCCTCCCATTTCCCTTCCCCTCCTCCCACCCTTCTCCCCCTCCTCCCACCCTTCTCCCCCTCCTCCCACTCTTCTCCCCCTCCCCCCACTCCTCTCCCCCTCCCTCTCCAGTCCACAGAGAAGTCCGGGTTCCCTGCCCTGTGTTAAGTCCTAGGTCCTCTCCGTCCATATCTAGGAAGGTGAACATCCAAACTGGCTAGGCTCCCACAAAGCCAGCACATTAAGTAGGATCAAAACCCCCTGCCATTGTCCTTGGTGTCTCATCAGCCCTCATTGTTCGCCATGTTCACAGAGTCCGGTTTTATCCCATGCTTTTTCGGTCACAGTCCAGCTGGCCTTGGTGAGCTCCCCGTAGATCAGCTCCTATAAAGAGGTAATCTTCACCCACATCAAAGAGCTGTATAATATGGTATTTAAATAACTTAGGGTTCTGTCGACATGAGACAAGATTGCTCCTGGGAGCACTAATCTATTCCCAAGAGAATGTTGAGCACCAAAGACACTCTACTTGGAGCTTGTTCTATTCTTGACAAAATTGGCCTTTGGGCAAGGAAATGCCCATGACTCAACCACTGATAAAGTATATCATTTCTGGACAGGAGAAACAGGATACAAGAAAAAAGATGGCCAAACCTTGCCAAGGGAGGGTAAGACAGTTTTGAAATTTTCCCTGCCTCTGAAAATGGTCTGTCAGTTACTCTAGGCCTTAGCCAAAGTTGGCTGCTCCAACATTGCAAATGAATCTTTGGGTGATTGCCCAGGTAACCAGTTATCTCTGTCATTTGTTACACATTTTGGAAGTTGCTTGATTGCACTTCCTGCCTGCTCAAGTAATATTATTTCCCTTCTGGAGTCTTAGATGGGGTTGAAGATTAGATAGTAATAGTTACTTTCCTCTCATGACTTGGCCAAGTTATTTATAATACAAGATTTAAAATCCTTAGGGTAGGATAATTATTGAAACATTTATCATGTGTTTCTTACTTGATATTTTATATGCTGGTTATAATTCTAATTTTTATACCTGATATTTGTTCTTATTGTATATAATTTTGTATTAGGCTTAGAACACTCTTTTTTAACCAAAAGAGGGAGAACTGGTAGGAAATTCTACAGCCAGTAGCCTTTAAGTTACCCGCCCACTTGGGCATGGCCTCTTCTATTATAAATGGTGATGTAAAGTGCACACACGTTTTCTCTCTCTTCTGGCTCCTGGATTTGGTTCTTGTTTCCAGTTTGTGCAGAGGACTGTGATCTGGGAGTCTACCCCTAAATAACACTTTATTGTACTCAATTTTAAGCTAGTGTGAGATTTCTTTTTAGCATTCATCTTCAAGTCCCTGAGAGTGCCACTCTGTGGATGCATTTGATGATGTAAGAAACATCTGGTGTTCACTGCACTAATATATTATCTAATTGAGCATGGCCTGGGCCTCATCACAGAAAGAGTTCAAGATCCATCTATAATGACAAAGCCAGTAGAGCCACAGTGCATCCAAACTGGGAGAGAGCACACAGCATTACCATGAGAGACTGGTTGTGACTGGCCTGGCCCTCCATCCCTGCCTGCACATGCTGGATGGAGAGGAGGCTTTACCTGGTTCACAGATGTTGGTCATAAGGACCAAAATAATGGACAAACCTAAAACAGTCATTTTAGAATCACTTTTCTCTAGGACCTTAAACAGCTCTGCACCATGGGATAGGACATATCAATAAGGCTTTGTGACAATAACTGGCGCTTCTTCATTCTGTCAGTGTCATCTATGGCTACAAAAAGTTACCTGGGCTGTTGAAATAGCTTACCCAATAAAGGTACTTGTCATTCATCCTGGCAGCCTGAGTTTGATTCCCAGAACCCACTTAGTGAAAAGGAAACTAGTTCCTCCAGGTTGCCTTCCAATGGAAATTAAATCATTATATCACAGTTGTGTGTGTGTGTGTGTGTGTGTGTGTGTGTGCGCGTGCACGTATTTCCACGTGTCAAAGTACACCTGTGGAGATCAAGGGCAACCTTGGTATCAATTCTAGCCTTTCATCTTATTTGAGGCATTTGCCACTTTGTGTACCAGGTCACTTGTTCTGCAAGTTTCCAGTGAGTCTCCACCTTCCATCTCACAGTAGAGAGGCTGGGATAACATGCTTCTTTCCTTAGATTTAAGGAGGATCTTGGGATCTGCTCATGTAGCAAGCACTGTGTTCACAAAGCCATGTCTCTAGCACCTCTTCTGACATCTTAATAATTCAATAGAGACCACTGTGTGTGTCATAAAGCAGAGAAATGGAGAGATGATAAGCCTTGGGAAGAACAGAAGGAGCAGGCTGGATTCTGCCCTCCCATGTGATAGGAATACTTAACAGAGGGAAGGTGCAGTCACTCAACCAGGATGGTCAGGATATAATGGGATGAGGAGAGCAAGCTGGAGACAGATAACACAGGAAAAGCTGTTCTTTGGAAAGGTTTTTGCACCAAGAAAAAGAGAATGGAGGTAGAACTGGAGAGGGGGCGGTCTGGAATGGAAGACAGTCTGTGTAGAGAGGGCGAGCATGCTGTGTGGTGAGGGAATGTTCTAGAAGGGAGGCACTGTCCATCCCCAGGCATCACTGCACTTGTGTGCAGAGCTCTGTGGCCCTCCTGCTGCTTACAACTTTAGTTTGGTTTCTGAGACTGGCAGAGGAGATGAGTAGTGAGGAGCATGGGTGTAAGATTTGCAGGGCTGCAGCATAGCATGGGATTTTTGGAGAGCATGCTAGAGTCAAAAGAAAACACTTCTGGTTTATTCACTTTATTTCCATTTAAGTGACACATGAGAGATCGAAGATCCAAGCTGAACCTCAAAAACAAATAATGATCAAAGATGCCGAAGGCACAGCCAGTCAACCCATAAGGTTAATTCCTTAGGCTAAAACAATAGGAAAGTACTCCACAGAGAAAGCAATTCCAAAGAATGATTGCCTACTGTCTGGACTTATAATTACCAAGAGTGCCACACTGCTCACCCAAGGCTCACCGCCCCTGAACGCCTTTTAAACTGTAGAGTTCTGTGACTTCCAAAACACGATTGAAACAAGATGTCCTCTTATATTTAAAACATAAGCAAGACTCTTCTGCATTATATTTCTAGACATACAAAAATCAAAGCCAAATTAAAAAAAAAACTTCCAAACACAAAGACCAATGAAAAAAAGGTAACAGAATTTAGACCATACATACAGATATGGATAACTTTAGATAAGCTGTAAATTATAACAACTCAAATGCATTATGCTGCTTATAATTAAACTTTTATTAAAGATATGTATCATTATTAACAAATCATAAATACATATACCTGCTCCAAAAACACAGTATCATCCTGTAGAACCTTATCAATATACAGGCAAATGACAATTCCAAACACGATTCAATGTCACAGACATTTAATTTTTTTATCCTTTAGAAAATCAGATTTGACCACAAATCTTTGTCTTCGGTTTCACATGAGTGGCTTCTAGTCACGGAGGGTATTTTTTGTCTTCCATGGCCAGGTGAAATGAGTCTGCTCCCCAACTGTGATGTTTCCTGAAGGAGAATGTAAGAAGGGTTTCAGAGCTCTCTGGACTCACCTCTGGAACAGAGGGAGAGCACTGACGATGACATCCAGGGACCTGGTGGGGTGAGAAGGGTCTGAGACCCTGTGTGGGTAACTGATGGAGGAAGGTCATTGGCTAATAAAGGAACTGCCTTGGCCCATTTTATTGGTTAGAAGGTAGGTGGGAGGAGTAGACAGAACAGAACGCTGGGAGGAAGAGGAAGTGAGGTCAGTCTTGACAGCTCTCCTCTCTGGAGCAGACGCCTGAGAGAGACACCATGCCCTGCTCCTGGGATGAAGCTCCGACCCAGGATGGACATAGGCTAGAATCTTCCCAGTAAGCGCACCTTGGGGTGCTATACACAGATAATTAGAAATGGGCTAAATTAATATGTGAGAATTAGCCTAGAAGAGAATGGGCCAAACAGTGATTAAAAGGATACAGTGTCCGTGTAATTATTTCGGGGCATAAGCTAGCCGAGCAGGTGGCTGGGGTGCTGGGAACGCAGCCCCACCACTCCTATTACTACAGGTAACACCCTGTGCATTCATTTTAGCTTTATTTCTGTTACTATGATAGTATACACCCTGACAAAAAGTAGCTGAGGAAAGAAGAATTTCATTGGCTCACAACTCCAGGTGTAGTCTTTTATTGCAGGGAAGTCAAGACAGGAACTTAAAGCAGTGGGGGACATCAATGGTCCCAACAAAGACAGGAAAAACATAGGGATCCTTGCTTGCCCTCAGCTGGCTTCCTCCTCTCATACTGCTCAGGACACCCTGCCTAGGGAACCGAGACACCCACACTGGGCAGAGTCTTCCTACATCAATGGATAATAAAGAGATATTTCTCATTAAAACTCTCTGCAGCGTGATTGTAGGTTGTGTCAAGTTAACAGTCATAACCTCCCAACACAGCATTTGAACTGCAGGTATCAGGAGCTGATCCCCATGACCGCTTCATGGAGGTAGTAGATTGCATGATGCAAAACACTCACCAGGGGCTGGGAAGAGCTTGTATGCAGTCACAGGCTCCATCCCCAGCACCAAAACTCCAAAATGATATGCACCAAATAAGAAAGAAAATTTAAAAAAAAAGAAAATGAAAAAAGGCATTTGGCCACAGAATCCACTTTTATTCTTGTATTTAAAATTAGTATGCCTGGCTATTAGAAAATGTTGTTTGGGCAGTTTTAATCTTCACCTCCAGGAATAATGTAAGGCCAGTCATGAGAATCTCTCATTTCCTGAGAGTTAGGTTAAAAGGCAGGAGACACCTGAGGTAAGACCCCAACAAATTTTTCCTAAGCAAAGAGCCTGGGAGGTCAGTTTTTTCAGGAGCCTTTGCAAAGATTATTTTTGTTTGCATTTCATTTATTTATGTGTGTTCATGCACATGTGTGCAGGTACACCATGAGCTTGTGAAATTCAATTGCCTTCTTTTCCCATGTGGGTCTCAAGGACTGAATTGCATTTGCTAGAGTAATTTGGCAGCAAACACCTTAACTCACTGATATATCTTACCTAGGCCAGAAGGGATCCAGAGGCTAGCACCCTCACAGAATGCAGGAGCTTGTCTGGTATCAGAGACCTCCTGGGAAGTCCCCTCAGGAACTATGAATAACTAGTTACATGACTCTCCTCCCCCACTATACCAAGCCAAAGTCCCAGCCAGAGAGAGGAATAAGCAGCCCATCTACCAGGAGACTCAATGTAGAGAAGGCTAAGATAACATTCTGGTGTAGGAGTTCCTTCTGTTTGTGTGTTGCTTTCATTGGATAATAAATAAGGAAACTGCCTTGACCTAGTTGATAGGAGAGAACTTGGGAAGGTGGAGAAGATAGAACTAAATGCCGGTAAAAGGGCAGAGTGGCAGATGCCATGGATCGACTGCCTGAGATGGATGCTGGTTAGAATCTTGCCAGTCAGCCACAGTCACATGGTGGTACACAAATTAATAGAAATGGATTAAATTAAGATGTAAGGATTAGCCAATGAGAAGTTAGAGCTAATGGGCCAGGCAGTGTTTAAATGAATACTGTTTCTCTGTGATTATTTTGGGTTTAAAGTAGCCGGGCAGCCCAGGTCATAAGCAGCCCACTCGTCCTGTTATACCATTTCTAATATGATGAGTGCATGAAATTTGTTCTTAATTTTAAAAAAGTGGTATGAGAAAGCAAATGCTTTCAAAAGGAGAGATGGAGAAGATCTAAGCAACATCTCATCCATTTTTTAAGTGATGCCCAGCAGCTACCATATTAAATTCAGCTTGTGAATTAGTCAGTCTGCCATGAGGCTGCAGACTCAGTGGGGAAACCAGACGATGTCTGAAGCCTGGCTTTGTTCTTTCAAAACAGCATCCTGAGGCCAGCGATGGACATTCTAGTGTGATCACAGGTGCAGCTGTGATGGTAAAAGCTGTGCCCCCTCAGCAGGCTGGTGGGTGTGTTTCACTTCTGCCTGGAGGCTGGAGGTCAAGAACCCTCTGGGTGTGCAACTGTAAGCCACTCCTTCAGCTCATGTCTCCACCATAGGACAACTGGCCTCGTGACAAGCTTGCAGCTTATTGTGCAAGAGAGAGATCAAGGCAACCTCACACTCTCGAGAGAAGATCGGAGGCACTTGCTATGCCATATACCAAGTAATAAAACTAGCCTCCTGCCTGCATGTAGACACCTGGATCTGCCATGTGTGCACATATGAAATGCACATGATCTCATGATAAAGCTAGTCTAAACGGGAGGTTTGTGAGAATTCCACAGAGGGCCCAGGGCCACATGAGTTTCAGGGAGAATCATGAAGAAGTAAAGCCACACTCTAGCCAACACCCAGGACAGAGGTGGCAGTGTGCGGGCAAAGGGAGATGCTGGTGACTCCTTGGGTAGCACCAGCCCCAGGCCTCTGAGAGAAGTAAGCATGCAGGAAGGTTGTTAATGCTGTGCCAATGGAGAAGGCTGAGGGCTGGGCCTCCACTGCATCTCAGACCCTGGGTGAGTCACCGAGTCACCTCAGTTGCTTCTGCTGACAACCAGTTTGGTTGTAAGAATGAAATGCAGCTACCTGCAAAGAACGCCTGCATCTTCAATGCAAGAGCAAGTCTGGGTACAGGTGATCACACCTGCTTATGCTCCCATGCACTGTGCATAGACCAAGAAAACCTGTGCCCGACCAGCTTCTCAGCACTGAGTGCTCACTCAGATCTGCTGTCTGGAGACCCTCACCTTGACCTTGCTCATGAAGTGTGTGAATGCAGTGAGCAAACATGGCTAAAGAAGGAATGAATAAAGGGAAGGTCTGACACCGAGCGGCTGGAGCCAGGTCATGATACCAGTTCTTCCATCCTCTAGATGGCAAAGCCACCTTACTGTTACAAGCCTTGGCTTCCCTCTCTTCAAGAGAAGACCTGGTTTGGTTTTGATGGTGTATGTAGTCCCTAGTACACACCCAGGAACAATCACCCTTTCTCTTTCCAGAGCTCAGATTTTCACATTTTCTGAACTAAGGGTCCAGAACTTGGTGCTGTAGGATTTTGAAGAATGTCACAAAGAGAACAATTTCCCACCAAGAGTTATGGGAGAGACTCAGAGGAGTGACAGGGATAAGTGTGGAAATGAGGCCCTGGAGGTAGGTTCCAGCTTCCTCCAACTGGAGGAGTAATGGTTCTGACTTGTGTAAATGTTCCTGAATTCAGAGAGCATATTGCAACATTTACAGTCACGTAGTCACATGAAGCCTTGGCTCCATCCAAGCAAACAGTAAAATCTAGTAAAGAAAAGGGCAGGGGGAAACAATAATTCCCACGATACAGACCAAGATTATGTGTCTGGTAACTGAATGGCCATGAGCCCTTGTTTTTACCCAGCTCTGAAAACCTTCAGTGTTAAATTCTGAACCAGAACTCTCAGAAGATCTCTGACCATGTGATAAATGCAGTGTGAAGAGCTGGCTTTAGGACCACAGATTCAGGGAGAAACCATTGACTGGTGGTGTGGGACAATTGTCTATATTCTGTCAATTATATTTTAAATAAAGGTTAATTGGCCAGTAAGCAGGCAGAAAAAATAGGTGGTACAACCAGATAAAAAGTAGAGGTGGGTCAATGAGAACAGTAGAATTCTGGGAAAGGGGAAGCCCATTCCTCTGCAGTCCTGAGCCCACTACAGAAGAAACAATATGTGACTGTTTCACTGAAAAAGGTACCGAGCCATGTGGCTAGCTAGCATAGATAAGAATAACGGGCTAATATAAGTTATAAGACTTAATAAGAAACCTGAGATAAGGGGCCAATCAATCTATAACTAATGTAGACTTCTGTGTGATTTGTTTGGGACTTAATAACTGTGGGAACCAGGAAAGACAGAAAATCCTGACAACAGACTGGGCCTACATCCATGGCTTCATATGTATACTGAGCTCTGAAATGAGCAGATGAGGGCATGTCTCAAACATTGAGAACATAGTACAAAAGCCTGAAAGTCAAGATCTGTTATTTCTCTGGATGCCAAGTGAAAACAAGTCTTGACTCTGCTTGTGTGTACATCCACTCTAGTGTATGCAGGGCATTGAATACAGCACTCTTTGCCTTCCCCCTTCTCCTTCTCTGTCTACCCCTGACAGTTCCCAGCAAGGCCATCCCAGATGTTCCCAAAGTATCACCAAAGGTTATTGGAAGTTTGCACCACAGGCTCACCTCAGAAAGAAGGGCAATTCAGTTTCTGAGAGTTCTCCAGTGCCTGCCAGTAAGTGAATAAGTTCTGAGGTGTCACAGAGTGGCAGGTCACAATTTTCCGAAAGCGGCACACAGAGAAGCGTAAGCCACCCGGGAAAAAGGTCTGTTTGGTGTGGAGTTCCTCAGGCCGGATCTTCAGCTTAGCCAGGCAGAGCCCAACAAACACATCCTCCAGCTTGAGGAATGGAACACTCTGTGAGATATTGTATACTTGGCTGGCCACATCACTAGAAAAGACATAACCTGTTCCAGAACAAAAAGGTGGGTACCTGTCCCAGGGATATTCAAATTTACTCACAAACCACTTGCTGGACTTTTTCCTGATGGGATGGTCATTGGACTTTATGTAGCCTGTGAAGAACCTGGAGGTTTTGTTTTTTTTCAGCAGCAGGTCAGTCAGATAGCCAACATTCACAAACATGTCTGAGTCTGTCTTCATCACAAAAGCTGCCTGAGGACAAAAGTGGTGGACCCACTCCATGCCCATCAATGTCTTCAGGGTCAAGTTGTAGTAGACGTCCTTGAAATCCTTCTGGATGATGTCACGGTGCTGCTTAGCCTCCTGAGATGTGGCATTCATCTCATCGGTGCTGTCTGAGGCCCCCAGAAGGAAGAGGGTCTTCACATGCTGTCCCCGCACCTCTGTTTCTCTACCCCATGTCTTGCGGATGGCCATGCGAGCTGCCAGCTGTGTGTGGGATGAAGTCACCAGCAGCACAAGGAAAGGGGGCTTCTGCTTGCAGTCTATATCTGGAAGCTGGAGGAACTTCTTGTGACCTTTCTTGAGAACAAGTGGTGGTTCCTCAAAAGGCTCCATGCTGAAGTAGAAGCAAAGAACTCCCATCATGAGAATGAAAGCACAAACCAGCCTCATCTTCATGAAGGCCATCTGAAAGAACAAAGACAAACTGCCAGGTCTCCCAAGAGAGAGGGTGAAGTAACAGATATGCAAACACATGATCAGAGGGCTCTGTTCTGGTGTTCCAAACCTAGCACTAGAGCTAGAATTTATATTTTATAACGTACTAACAGAGATGTATTTGGTAGTTCCCAAGACAGGGCTATAGAGACCGCTCAGGGGTTAGGAGCACTTCCTGTCAGCAACCACCTGTATCTGTTGTTCCAGTGGATCTGGTGCCCTCTTTTGTCCTCTGTGGTCACTGTACACATGTGGTCCACAGATAAACAAGCAGACAAAATTCCCATGTTCATAAACTAAAAACTTAAATTTTACCCAAAACAAAGGAAAAATAGATGTTTAAGGTAATGCAACTGTGAATCTGTGTAAACAGTAAACATTATATATGTGCACTGCATTATACCAAACCCCATATACACATAATTTAAAAATAAACTTTTAAAATATATGAGTTGATGTGTCAGGTAGGTGAGGTTAGATGAAGAGATCCACAGTTTAGAAAACTCTGGAGTGCCAGGAGAGATGTTTCAGAGGTTAGAAATATGGCTGCTCATCAAGAGGTCCCAATTTTAGTCCCCAGAAACCACATGGTGGCTCACAAACATCTATAATGAGATCTGATGCCATCTTCTGCATTTTATGCAGAGCATCCATGCATAAAATATAAAAATTAAATATAAAGAAAGAAAACTCTGTATTCTTTTGCACACAGAAATGGAGGTCATGCCACAACAATGTAGCACACAGGACAGACTGCCATGTTGTCCCCTAGTGCCACACTGACAGCCTTAGGATTCTAGACGTTGGTCCCAGCTCTGGGAACTGGCATCCCTTCATGGATGGGATATTCAAACTCCTTGTCCTTCATTAGATGGGACCAGATCTTCCCAAAGATCCTCAGCTCTGGCCTCTGGTGACTCCATGACAAAGAATGTCACAATGCAGTCTGACAGCTATGCATTCACAGTGCAAGCAGAGGACTAGCCACAGATTTCGCTGCACTAAGTAAGCATGCTCAAAAAGCAACTCTTAACACTTTGAGATCCTGGCAGGTTCATGTGTCTAAACTCTTGGTCTGTAGCTATGGTGCTGTTGTAAAAGTTTGTAGAACCATTTATTAGACTGGGCTGAACTACAAGTGACTCCTGGGAGATGAGTGTTGAGTTTATGGCATTGTCCACTTCATGTCCTCTCACTGCCTTCTGATCCACAAAATATGAGCAATAACCTCACACCCTGCTACCACAGCTATACACTGTTCCCACCCAGTAGTGTTTAAGTATTCCTGCTGCAAAGGAGAATAACATCAAATCAGGATCCAAAGTAAATACCCACATAAGTCATTTCTCTTTAGGTATTTGGTCATCACAACGAGAAAAGTAATAAACACAAAAGCACCTCTGGTTTTCTGATTTGCACAATTTCCTTGAAACTCTAGAAACCTGGAATGTGATAGCTTTGAGATCGCCAGTCTTAGTGTTGTAACACTGACAAAGAAAGACACTCACTTTTGCTGAGCAAGAACTTAGCTCCATCTGGACAGCTAAGCCACAGGGCAGAAGTCACGATGAAATGAATTCCTTGTGAGGAGCAGACGTTCTGCTCTACCTTCTGAGACAATCTTCTGGACTTGTTTTGTCTACCAAAAATGAAGCAAAATAAATAGGAAAGAAAATGGCAGCATTCAAGTTATTTTAACTTTACTTCATGCTTTGCCTTCCCCCTGTGTGACCTTGAGCAAGTGTGTGAACTGCATTCCTGGACTCAGTTTTATGACTTCTAAAATGGGTACAATGGAGGAACAACATCAACTGTATGATTCACCTACCTACAACAACAAACCAGTATCTGAGAATCCTCTGATGTCTGATAGATGAAGATAGGTCCTTTGGTCGTTTGAGGGAGAATGGGCTCTGTGGGCCTATATGATTGATGACTTTTTCATCAGTGGGTGGAAGACTTTGGGAAGGATTGAGGGTGGAGAAGATGTGTCACTGGATGTGGGCTGTGAGGTTTGAAAAACCCATGCCATTGCCAAGGTGTTCTATTTCTTCCTCATGGCTGTGGATCAATGTGTGAGCTCTAAGCTGTTCCCACCATTCGTGTCTTTGCTGTCATCATGAATGCTAACCCTCTGACACTATAAGACCAACTGAATGTTTTTATGACATTCTTTGCTCATGGTGTTTCATCATATTAAGGGAAAAGTAATTTACATGGAAGTTGGTACCAGGGAGTGGGATAGAGCTTGACAGGTCTGACCTTGTTTTGTTTAGGAGGAATGTGAAAGACAGTGGGTTTTTTTTTTAATTTATTTATTTATTAAGGATTTCTGCCTCGTCCCCGCAACCGCTTCCCATTTCCCTCCCCCTCCCCCGATCAAGTCCCCCTCCCTCATCTACTCGAAGAGCAATCAGGGATCCCTGACCTGTGGAAGCCCAAGGACTGCCCACCTCTATCCAGGTCTCGTAAGGTGAGCATCCAAACTGCCTAGGCTCCCACAAAGCCAGTACGTGCAGTAGGATCAAAAACCCACTGCGACTGTTCTTGAATTCTCAGTATTCCTCATTGTCCGCTATGTTCAGCTAGTCCGGATTTATCCCATGCTTTTTCAGACCTAGGCCAGCTGGCCTTGGTGAGTTCCCAATAGAACATCCCCATTGTCTTAGTGTGTGGGTGCACCCCTCGTGGTCCTGAGTTCCTTGCTCATGCTCCGTCTCCTTCTGCTCCTGATTTGGACCTTGTGATTTCTGTCCAGTGCTCCCATGTGGGTCTCTGTCTCTGTCTCCTTTCATCGCCTGATGAAGGTTAATATTCATGAGGATGCCTATGTGTTTGTCTTTGGATTCACCTTCTTATTTAGCTTCTCTAGGAACATGAATTATAAGCTCAATGTCCTTTATTTATGGCTAGAAACCAAATATAAGTGAGTACATACTATGTTCCTCTTTTTGGGTCTGGCTTACCTCACTCAGGATAGTGTTTTCTATTTCCATCCATTTAGTATATGCTCAACTATGTTCATGGCAGCATTGTTTGTAATAGCCAGAACCTGGAAACAACCTAGATGCCCTTCAACGGAAGAATGGATGAAGAAAGTATGGAATATATACATGTTAGAGTATTACTCAGCAGTAAAAGACAGTGGGGTTTTGGATGAAGAAAATGGTTGAACACTGAGTGCTGAGCTTAATGGGCCATCCTTAGTAGAAGTACAACAGTAGTGCTGTGGACCATGGGGGTCACCTCAAGAGGTCTCAGAGGGGAGCAATATTAATAATGGGGATAGAAACCATTCTTGTGATATTTTGACAAAGAATGTGGCTGCATTCTGCACTTGTATCAAAAATCTGCATGAGGTTAAACTGAAGAGTAAAGGATTAAATTCTGTGGTAGTTTGAATTCAATTGACACCATAAGTGCATAAGGAGTGGGACTTTTAGGATGTGTGACTTTCTTGGAGTAGGTGTGGCTTTGTTGGAGGTCCTGGTGTCTCTTCATAGCAATAGAAACCCAAAACAATTTCGCTAGCAGAGCAATTTCAGGAGGCCAATACTGGCTGTCTCTTGTGGTTACTAGTGATACCCTTATGGAAATATACACTTAAAGAGCATGTGGAATAGAAATTAATATAAAATGTTTGAAGAGAAGAAGAGCACCAGAGAAATTTAATGTTGGGACCCAGGCTCATGCTGAAAGACATAAGGAGGTTTAAAAAAGGCCTGATGCAAATTGGAATAAAGAGAGGGTGTCCTCAGGGCAAGACCCCACCCAGCTAAGCTCCTGACTTGTAAGAGGGAGGCCTAAACAATTTTCTGTTCCTAAAGAGCAACAAAAAAGGAAAAAAAAATCCTGCAAACATGATTCAAGGAGGCAGCCAGACTTGAAACTGTCACCCACATGGTTCTGGGATAAGGGGTTGTAGAGTCTTCCTCTGTGGTTAAGGAAGGCCAAGGAAGCCAGGCAGTAGTTTACGGTAAGAAAGTCCCTGTAAAACCTAGAAGCCCTGAGAGGCCATTTCATGAAACTGTGATACTGAAGCCTGAGTTGCATGGAGACTCCAAGATTTTAGACTTGCCAGAGCCATGGATATTTGCCAAGGAGAGCTGCACAGAGGACTGGAGCATGAGAGGGATATGTGGTACAGGGAACAAAGCTGGAAGGGAAGGGTCAGCTAAGTCCAATGACACTGGGTATGGAGCTACAGGATTTGTAAATAAATCAAGGAAGCATAGAAACTTGACAGGACAATTGGTCTTAGGCATTAATCTTATGTACCTTGTGTAGTTTGCCAATTTCATAGTGTCCTGGAAACTACAACTGTACTGATCCTGGCAACTGCCGTTACATTCTGTTTCTGATAAAGGTCTCTGAAGTCTGATTGCTCTCAATAAAACTGCCACAGTCTCACGTGTACTGTGGCCTCTCCAGATGGCATGATTTAATTCCTCATGGCTATTTCAAGTTACCCTGTCATGGTAATAAACTTGAACTTAAGCACTGTGTTATATGGATTTAATTACAGGGTGGTACAGCCCATCTTATCATTAGCTGACAACTCCAGAGAACCAGTTATCATCTATCTGTATTTCCCACTGTTGTAGATTCTGTTTGGACAGATGATTCAGCACATGGCCACCCAAGGGAAAGTTTTGAGCCAGTAGATGAGAATGGAAGAGATTCCTGTTTCCAGATTCCTACACTTCTTGAGTCAGTACATTTTTCCCCCTGGGAAACAGACACATGGTTTATGTGGCTTCTCAACTGATGATCAAAATGTCGATTGAGTCAGGTATGCTTGCTCTCTGCATCTTTCCTAAGAGATTTTGATCATTTCTGAGAGGTGAGTCAGGTTTGTTGCAGAAAAGAAGTGGTCATGTTTCACTCCATTCTGTTCATGGGGTAGGACTTGGGGACTGTTGGGTGGTTAGAAACCCAGTGTGCTTCTTGGGTAGGTTTAGCACTGGGGTGCTCCAGTGTCCCTGCTGCTAGCTTTCCCAATCACTGGGAAGTCCTTTATCACACAACTGTTTCCCCTTCTTTCTGTTGAAAATGGACTTTTAAAAAAGCACTGATGGCTGATTTTTCATAAGTGATTAGCTCCAAGAATGCAGGAAGGAAGAATAAATGTGGCCATGTGTGTCCACCAGCTGCCAAAATCAACACTCAAGCCTAAAACTTCTCTGGGAAGTATTTCTTCCTTGGTGACTCTGCTGAACAATGAAAGGTGTAGGCAGACATGGAGTGCTTATTATTCTTCTCTCCCTTTGACCACTGCCTGATTTGGCTCATAGCATTTCTCAAAGGATGTCACCCAGGAAGAAATTTGGCTAGATCAGCTGGGTCAGCAACTAGTCACCTTTGTTCAGAAGTCAAAAGTCCAATCTCCCCAGTTTGCCTTTGGCCAGCAGAGACTCTGAACAGAACCTCATCTAGGCATCATTGTTCACTGCCCTTTATCAACATAAACATCCCTCACACCACGTGAAAATACAGAGATTCTACACGTATCTGATATAGAGCAGATGCTGGGACACACACCAAATCAATGCCGGATAGTCATATGGCTTGTGTCAAGAAAGCCATCCAATATTGTGCATTATGGCATACAGCTGAGAAACCATAAAGAAGGAAGGGCATGAAAGAAAGAACGACCTGTCTTGCTGTGGGAGCTCCTTCTGCTCCTTCAGCCAATAGCCTTTAAGTTACCAGCCCAGTTGGGCAGGATCCCTTTTGCTTTCAAAAGCAGCAGTAGTCCTGCTCTCGCTCTCTTGCTTCTTCCTCATGCTTCCTGTTCCCTCAGGGGGCTGTTGTCTAGGACAGTGATCTGTAAGTTTTCCCCTTTAATAAATAACCCTTTTATTAATCATAATTCCAAACTGGGGTGGGATTGTTTAGTAACTTATGCCTTCACCTGGCTCCCAACAAGAGTTTGGTTTTAGAACCCACAGCTCTACTACTCACAACCAGCTTAGAGTGGGCCTGGCTAGGCACCCCCAGCCAGCCATGGCCTTTGTGTGGAGCCAGAAGTTCATTTGGATATAGAATTCTCACAAATCAGTGGCTTTTCTTGCGCAGATCTGCCATGGTTCATTATATTTTCTCATTAATCACCTCAGAGTGACTTCCAGTCCTCCTGCCACCACACTTTACATGGAAATTCAAATGGTATATGGGGTTTCTTGTGTGCCTGCTGTTTATCTTGTTATCCCTGTGCTCCTGTGGCTATTGACTGATCAGGGCCCACCATGGTTACACAGTTTGTGATTTCTATTAATAACTATTTTTGATCTAAGCATATCTTTTAGCATTTCACACTATAATCAGATCATACCAACTGTATCACTGGGCCCAGCTGAGTTAGTTTTATAGGTGGCCTGTGACACCTACTAGCAGGTTATGGTTATTGCCCCAATCCAGCTAAGTATATCAGAGGTAAGATTTAATATCCTAAATATAGATCACAAGTTGCTAATTTACAAGGTCAATATGTTAGACAACCTAACCATCTAAGGTTTCAATATCCTCTTTACTTACAGCATGAGTGAGGTTTTACAAAACTTTTATGATGTCCCTTCTACATCATTAATCTTAATTCTGGGGATCAGGTTTGTCCTCAATATGTTTTTTTTTTAAAAA